GCGTTTTGTTTTATGAGAAGAGAGAGGATTTGAGTGTACAGTTGTTTTTAAATTTAAAATATTAACATTTTAAATTATTTAAATTTTTTGAATATTTAAATTATTTAAATTTTTACGATTTAAAATTTTTGAATATTTATTTTAATTTTTTACTTATTAAATTTTTTAGATTATTTAAATATTTATGATTTAAATTTTTTGAAAATTTATTTTGAAAAAAAATTATTTTCTTTGTAGTATTTTCAATTAAAAAATTGATTAATGTTATTTTCTATTAATAATAATTTTTTTAATTGAATTTTAAAAAGAGTTTGATTATGAGTGTTGATCAGAATTTTCAATAGTGTGAAAGTAGTGTGTTTTGTTATGAGTTATAATAATTTGAATTAAGTTTTGAAAACTTTTTTCAAAATTCATAACCAAACAAATTTTCTCACTTCACATGTCAAATCAAACTTTCAAAACGCAATTCCACACTCAATTCAAAACTCAATTCAACACTTTATTCAACATAATCAAATAAATTTTCTACACTCAAATCATAATTCCACAACTCACAAACTCAAAATATAACTCATACTCTCAAATCATATTTATAAAACTCTACCAAACGCAACCTTAGTTTTTAACTTTTTTAACTCATACTCATACTCTTAAATCACATCATTTTTTATATTTTTTATTTATAAAAAGATAAAAATAATAATTTTTAACTAAATTTTTAAAACAACCTATATTTTGAGAATGCATGGATATTTCGGAGACATATATAGGAGTTATTTGGGAACATGAATTAAAAGTCAAAAATTAATTTTTAATTTATTTTAGATTACATCACTTCTCATATAAAATAGTAAAAAAAATTTAAAAAATCAACTTTTAACTATTTTTCTAAGTATTTTTTTTATTTAATTAATTTATTTTTAGATAACACATCAAGAATATATTAGAGACATGTTAAGTTATTTTTTCTCTCATTTTATTTAATACTTTTGATAAATATTAAATATTAAATGTTTATTATTTTTTCTTAGATTTAAATATTATAAATCGTTCATAAAAAATATAAAAATTATAAGTGTTTAAAAATGCTTTTAAAAAAATAAAACTAGAGTTAATTTTTATTAATATTGATTATTTATAGATGTAATATTAATCTATATAGTAAATAAAATTATATAAAAATATATTTTATTATCATGTCGATATCTCTATTTTTTTAAAATCACATTTCTCATGTCTGTATTCATATTCGTGTCC